TTTATCATGGAGTGAATAATATTGATGATAGTTATCCATTTATTTATAATTTTGCTTCTTTAAACAAGGATGTATTGTTTCATAGTAAGTAGTATTGCCCTGGTCAAGCCAGAAAAAGCCAAAATGGTTGAAAGTATGTTAATTCAGATGGCGCAAACTGGGCAAGTAGCTGGAAAGGCAAGTATTGAACTCTRTTTGATTCAATAAAGCATTAAAATCCAAGTTGAATATTATTTTCATTATAATTTGTAAATATAAATCTTGCACAGATTGGTGAAGCACAACTTGTAAGTTTACTGGAAAAAGTCAGTGAACAAACACAGAAGAAAACTACTGTTAAAGTAAGCAAAAATTATTGTCAGTGATGATGATGAATAATATTTTATTAGATGAGATTGATTGGAGCCTGAACTGTGCAATTCCAGTTTGTTGACATTTTTCATTTTTAAATAAAATGTTGATTGATTGATTGATTGATTGATTGATTGATTGATAGATAGATAGATAGATAGATAGATAGATAGATAGATAGATAGATAGATAGATAGATAGATTAATTGATTGATTGATAGGCTAATTGATTGATAGACTGATTGATTGATAGATAGATAGATAGATTAATTGATTGATTGATTGATTGATTGATTAATGGATTCATAGATTAATGGAATTATTGATTGAATTCTGTATTGATTACTGAATTTGAATGACCAATTTGTTGTTCTTGTTAACAAAGTACTCTCAAGTCAGTTGGAACAGAAAGAGAAAGATTTGTCTTATTCTAATCATCTTCTTTTTTGCTGCAGTTTAATAGGCGCAGATTTGATGATTCTGATGATGATGATTACTAGCTTGTTTCTGGCAGCAAAAGGTCAGTCTATACCTCAGCAAATCTTTGTTTGCTTAGACATAAGTCTAATTTATTGTTTTTGTCTATAGGTTGACAACAAAAGTTTGCTAAGTACTTGAAGTCATTGTGCTYCTTTTGATATCTCACTATTGTTTTGCAAGCTCAGTTGGACTTGGTTGACAACTGTGAAATAATTCATTAACCATAATGCCGTGCACACCAGAGAAGAAGAACTGAAATATACATCTTTTAAGATCGTTCAAACTAAGATTATCAGCTAAAATATAGGAGTTTATGAGTTATAAAAAGTGSCAACATTTGTCTCATGATGTATGTTGATTTTGTTATGATAATTAAAGTAATCACAAAATTGTGTGCGTTTAACACCAAAAGTTATCTCTTTCCARTCYCTACTTCCAGGCCACATTGATGTACACATTAACCACATTAAAACTWYTAACATTATAAAAAGCGATGGCAAAGTATATTTCATTGGTTCACGTTACAAAACGTGTTTGTCGTCGCGATGAGTGTAATTCAGAGTCCTTTTCTTAGATACTGAGAACATAGTTAGGATACTAATTATGCTGAGAATTAATAAATGAATAAAAAAAATAATAGCAACGCAAAAGAGGTAACGCAGACACCGTACCGTCTAGAATTCTCGTCGAAAATCCGCCCCTGTATTCCACTCCCCCGCGCCATTCCAAATCTTTCCCGTAGTTCTGTTCTATCACTTAGATCTCTACCTACAATCTCCCGCATAAAAAAATGATACACCACGAATTATTACATTCTTTTCCCCTCTCCCCTGTTCATTTGTTGATTTAGGGACTGCAATCAGACGAAATTACCCCCAAAACGACAGAAAATTCTCCAACCAACATTGTACAGGGGTGCGGGGTCGTCATAGGTGACCCGTTTTTTTTTTTTTTGCGGAAGATTGTAGCTATTTGTAATAATAGTTTTTTATTATCATTCATGCTATATTGAATATTCATCTTCCTGCTCTAGTATTAATTACTGGATCATTTTTTGTATCAGCTCAGCATAAAAAAAATTTGCTAAGCGTTAAAACGACGCAAATCAACGAGCATTAATAAGATAAACGACGGAACTGAAACCTGGATGGAGGCTTCAGCTTCAGTTTAGATTTATCCTCATTTTGGACAACTGACAGCTTCAGCTATATGTAGCGAAAYTTATGATTGTTATCGRTGCTGTTTGAATTTTTTATTATTTTTSCATTAACCGTTGATGTTTTATACGTTGTACTTCAGCGATTGCTATAAACTCGCCGGATTTAGTTTCAGCCCTTTGTAAAAACGTGATAGTGTATGTTGTGTAGGCGTGATTKTATGTRATTGCTTCCTGTCTCGAGAATTATAAGTTATGATCAGTTTGGAAAAACATCTGAGCAAATATTACTTAAAGTAGCATCTTTCAAAACAATAGTCGCTCTAAAAGGCTCCAACACCTGGGTAAGTGCATTGTAGTACTCTTGAACCTTATACAAACATCTTAAAACACTGCAGAGTAGCGACTTGTTAGTTTGCTCTCGGGGGAAGGCTTTGGTGCAAACTGGGAGGGACGGTTGCAACAAGACAAKGCAGTGCAGGATCTCATTCCGGACTACTCTATCATCGACTGCTAAGGAAATTGATGTACGGCTTGCAGTTAACTTCTCTTACGATTTGTAAATTTCGCAACTTGCGAGCATAATCTTGCGAGGGAAGCCGGGGAGGGAAGTTCGTACGCTACATGACGTAGACACAGCGAGCCGGAAGTCGCACCATTTAGAGCAACAGACTTTCCCTGRATTTTTTTAATGGCCTGTTCAACTAAACCATAAATTGTTTGCACCAAATGGAGCAGACTTATTTGCTAGTCCATTATAAAGCAGAACTGGATAAAAAAATGTTATTATTGCATGAATTAATCCTTATTAGTTTGTTTATCTTGCGAACATTCACATGACACCTCTAATTACCTTGACACRGTGTCGGTYAAGTCTGATTTGTGACGTCAGGAAAGCTCCACCCATAACTACAGTATCATATAACAGAAGTAGTGTTTATAACTTGGCATTTACGACCTGGTCACTTTGGCTTACTCAACGAACATGAAGGCTCTTCTAGTAGCTGTCGTATTTGTGGTTGCAAGTTATGCTGCCGATCCTAGTGAGTAACGTTATCTGCACTACTTGACTGYTATTCTCAATGATGCTGATTTTGTATGAGCGATTGTCTATAATGCGTGATAAACCGTTTGCCTTCTTTATAATAGCCGAATTGGTACTCTAAAAACACGAGCTATCACTTATATTGCATAGTGCAGAGCGGACGTTGATTTTTCCCGCTTGTAGGGCCCAAAAGGACTTCAAAGATTGCTTGAACATGTTTATGGTCTAGGCCAGGAAGTAGATATCATTATTTAAAATCTCTCGCAATCAACTATTTATAATAATTGCTGCCTGGACAAGAAAGAACTTACTTTTTTGTGTGATTATTAACTTGGTGTGATGTCATCTACTTTATCTTTTAGAACCCGCCAACTTTGAGGAGTTTAAGAAATTAGAAGCTGAACATTTCAATTCTGCAAGACTGCATTTTACTGGTAGGTATCTTCGATGAGGCTGATAATATTGATGAAGCTAACGCAGTTTATTTTGTGTAGCAAATAGTTACCGTTCAGGTCAACAACCAAACACATGGGAATGTGATCGAGTTGGACCAGTACCCCATGACGTACGAACAAAAATGAAACTAAGTCGGTTCTACCGGAAGTACCTGCATGCATTCGGTATTCCAATCATAAGCTCCAACGCTCCAAGTGATGCTGCTCTGAGGCGAGCCTGTTACACCGTGGTGTTCCTTCTGGCTGATCGTGCAGATATTCGTAGCTGGCTTTATAAACGAAATGGACGGGCTGGTGTTRTTGGGAGGAATGAAGGGGTCACCACTATCCCTGAACATTCTTGGCTACCAAGTTGGTGGAATCAACGTGCCAGAGGACTGGGCGGGACTATTCAGAATCCTATTTCAACATGTAAGTGACTTTCATTAACTGAAAGACTGACTGATGGACTCACGTTGTGTTTATCACATCCCTATAAAAATATCCCCAACATCTGAAAAGTCGCTTTCAAACGATTTCAAGGTGTCTAATTATAGAGGATTGAATCTTGAGTCCTTCCGAGGCTTTATCATTTTGAAATCATTTTTAAAACCTTATGTCCCCACAACTATGGTTCAGAGCAAAGTCCCCATAAGTCGGTAAAATTTTGTGTGGCTTTCCCTTCTAGCTTGATAATATTTCTGAATTTTCAACACAATAGGTGGTGAGGAAAACATTATGTGCGAAAGAGGAGACCGTTATCCTCGCGAAGACATCTTCCTTCACGAGTTTGTTCACGGAATCCACGAAATAGCCATCGTACGAGGAGCCATTCCTAACTTTGACAGCCGTCTAGTTCCTCGATACAACCACCTTAAGAGAACTGGTAGTTTATGGGCGAGGACGTATGCCATGAGCACAAGCCGAGAGTATTTGGCTGAGGGAACACAAAGTTTTTACGATGTTAATGATGAGCAGATCCCGACCAATGGCATCCATAATCACGTGAATACTAGGGGTGAACTTAAGAACTACGACCCAGTGCTGTATAACTTTATCAAAGAATTGTTTCCTTGTAAAAACAGAATCATTAAGAGATGCGAGGCAAAAGGTATTTCAGACATGAAAACTACTCGGTTTGACTTGACAAATTTTGAACGATTTCTTATTAGTCCGTTATTATTGTGTTTTTCTACGACGCATATTTCCTTGGCATTGATTGAAGTCATCATAATTTTGGATTGTTAGTATTAATTATATGTCATGATTTTGATTTGAAGGTATACACGAGTTTATTTTTGTGTTTTTCTTTTTGTTTTTAGCGGGTAATATTCCAGCAAATCGTTGGTACTTTAAGATGAACTGCGATAAACGTAAGTACAATATTAATTCAAATGAAATTGTCGAATGAGATGCAAAATATTAGAAATGAAACTCAAATGGATTGATAAAAAAAACAAATGAAAGAATTAAAGACGTTAAAAGAAAGATTAAAACATTGCAATAATTTCAGAGGTTTCATCTTTTRTTTGTAGATGGAAACGGAGTACTGATGGACTTTAGAACAAAGTTGCCWGTCGGAGGAACGCCCACTACATCACCTCCACAAACCCCTCCACCTGATACTATGCCTCCCACCCCTCCCAAACCTCAAACACCGCCTCCTAATACCATGCCCCCCACCCCTCCCCCACCGCAAACTCCCCCACCAGAGACTCAGCCTCCGCCAACCCCTCCTCCAAATACGCCTGCCCCCCCAGGTWAGTACATGACATTTTGATACATTTTCACTTCCCGTTTCTTCGTTTTTTTTTAAGATAATAATCACTAACGTTACCGGAACAAACATTACCTTAGTTTGATCTGATCTGAGATGCCTGATATGACGTTATTTTTATCTACTAAATTCGTTTTAATATATTACAGTGAAATGCGTTGACAACCATGGAAGCTGTAGTTATTGGGCAAGAATAGGTGAATGTAGTAGAAACCCAAATTACATGAAWGTTAACTGTAAAAAGAGCTGTAACGTTTGTGGTAAGTACATCATGCTGTCATTCAAATAGAGCTTGTTGTCATGTGTTAATTATCTTAACAGGGAGTTCGTCGTGTGTAGACAAACATCGTAACTGTTACAGCTGGGCGGGGCGAGGKGAATGCAGTCGAAACCCACMGTATATGACAGTTAATTGTAGGAAAAGTTGCAGACTCTGCTAACATGGTAGGTTTACCGAAAGTCAACGTTATAAGGAAGCACTCTCATTCTACAT